CCATGGTCTCAATGTCCTTGTAGGTTGCTGATGGAATTCACAGTGTACCCACACATAACCCTGGTAAAAGGCAACCACCAGGGCCACATCTCCTCTCAGTTACCCCACGGGCTTCTGTCAAAAGCTGCCCCAGCACTGGTCCAGTTGGAGTTTGGGAAACTGGCCCACATCTCCAGTCTGCAGATGCACAACCCACCTAGCAGCTGAAAATATGTTGGGTTTTGCCCACTGTAGGCACCCACCACAAATGCTGCTCTTGCTTGTCCTTGGAGGATGGCCACAGCCCTCTGGTTCTCCTTCCCTTCCAGATTCTGCCACTTGTTAGCAGATGGAGGAGTGGATCTGTACAAAAGGAACCTCCAAAGTTTTCCCAAGGAAGGCAGGATGGTACAGCACAATGGCAGCATTCATCCCATTAATCCTGCCATTCACTGCCTTCATTGTTCTGCAAAACAAAGCTAATTCAAAGAGAAATGTGTTGCAAAATGACTTCAGCGCAAAGAAGGAATCTCTCTGCCACCAAAATGGGAAATTGAAAGATATTCATGAAAAATATTTGAGAAAACCAATTAAAAAGAGCTGTTTGAACACTAACTAGTTTATAAAGTAAATGATCTGCTCTCTCTTGTGTCTTCTGCTATTAATATAAACAAGGACAGAGGGGAAGGGGAAGAGTGTGGAGGTGTTTGAGACAGAAAGGGCAACATAAAGAATAACAGATGTACTTAAAGTTGCAGAAGAAGAAATAACTGTAATCTCACATACCTATAGTTTAGCCCTTAAAAAAGACATGGTCTAGTCAAAGCTTTTCTGCATGTGCACCATTGGATGCTGAGGGCTGGGAGCCCCCTGGACATCAGCAAGAGCAGGGCAGAGCTGCGAGATGTTTGCAGGAGTCCCAGGCCAGCTGCTAGAGAAAAAGTGCCAAAGCTGAAGTGAATTACTTGCTGTTTGCCTGGAGTGCGAGTCCCATAACGCTGCACAGGCATTTGACAAAACCCAAACCCCAGAGCTGCTTAGAAAGCAGACGAAATGGAAGGAGGCCAAGAATAAGGGAAAGAGAGAGGAGCTGTTGTGGATCAGCTCCTGCAGTAATGCCTACAGTCTGGGCTTACGTAGACACTGCTGCTCTGAATCATGGTGTACTGCTTATATTTATCTCCTAATGATTTTCACGTTTACAGCAACTGCTTTTCTGATGGAAGCTGTGCTTTGGATTACTGTTGGTGTATAAGCCAACATTTATGCTGCCTGCATCAGGTGCAGTTGTTGTCATCAGGCAACAGTTACATCCCCTTACATATGAGATGTTGAAATGACTGCTCTCGGGTAGCCACCACCCTTACACAACTGCAGAAATGGTGAACAAGCCATTTTTTAATGTCATGATAGTGAAGTGATGATATTACTGAGTGACAGTTGCATTTCGTGGATGAATTTGTGCATATTACTATAGCTATAATGAAGGGTGCTTGCTTACAATGGGAAAACGAGTTGCTTTAAATTTCCCTTTCTATTGCACCTGAGAGTTTATTTACCCATTAGGTCTAATCCATGTGCATGTTAGTCATCTGGATGCCTTTCATTATTTTCAGTGGGTTTTAGATATTAAGAAAATAAAGAAAAAACAAATGACTAGTCTGCTAACTGCATTAATAGAGATCAGGTTTCAGTGCAACAGCTGGTCTATCTGTACTGAGGTAGTAAGCTGTAGGGACTGTATCTTAATTATATTCCTATGGAATAACTGTGCCTTTCTCATTATCCTTAATAAATAATTCATACTTTTCTAAGGCTCTACTAAGCTTAATTATTCACAGCAGAATCCAAAAATCATTTGTGTTTTGTGTAAAGATCTCCCTCCATTTACTGGAGTAGAGGCTGTGCCTTTGGTTTTCTTATAACACCCCCCAATTTGTCTTATGGCTAAGCAGGTGGAAGGCCTGACAGCATTTACTCTGTCCCAGTTGCTCTTTTTGCTGTGCCCCCCATCCCAGGCTGTACTATAGCAGCCTTTTCAGGCCAATTTCACCACCTGGCTCCACACTCCCAATTTTTTTATTTTTATTTTTTACTTTTAGAAGCAGCCACCAGATGCCCCATGGCTGAACCACATTCTGTGGTGGGACACCCACTGCCTGTGGGTACCATCATGACACACCCCATGCTTCACCTCAATCCCTTTACCCCTTTATTCTTAATTATGGCACCACGAGGACAAAACACCCCTGGACAGGTAGTCAGGGGGCGCCTCAGCACCAAACCCCTGGGCACCCCTCATCCCTCAGCCTCCTCCCCTCCACAGGGACCCCAAAGAGCCTCCAGCAGGGAGGTTTTGAGGTGGTGGTGACCCCTTGGAGGCAAGAAGGAGGGAGGAGGCTGAGGGGGGCTGAGGGGGCTTGAGGGGGGCTTGAGGGGGCTTAAGGGGGCTGAGGGGAACTGAGGGGGCTGAGGGGGACTGAGGAGGCTTAATAGGGCTTAATGGGGCTTAAGGGGGCTGAGGGAGACTGAGGGGGACTGAGGGGGCTTAAGGAGGGGGGCTGAGGGGGACTGAGGGGGGACAGGGGGCGTGGCTTTTCGGAGGCCCCGCCCCCTGCGACGTCGCGGCGCTGACGTCATCACGCCCGGCGGGTGTCGGGTGACCTTGAGGGGCAGCCCCGCAGTCCGCTCCCCGCCGCCATGCCGCGAGGAGGCCGCAGCCGCACGTCCCGCGTGGCGCCCCCCGCCAGGTGAGGGCGGCCGGGTTGCGCGGCCTCCCGTTCCCCAGCCCTTCTCGCCCTTCCAGGCCCCATCCGGGGACAGTGGGGCTTTATGGGGTCGGGGAGGGGGGTTTGAGGGGAAAACGGGGGTTTGTGGGGTGTGGGGGGGCGGGACTGGGGCTGTGTGGGGCCGGAGGGTTCCCCCCATCAGGGGTCGCCCCTCATTAGGGGGCTCCCCCAGGCTCTGAGGCCTGCTTTAAGCTGCCCCTTCCCGGCCCTGTCTCGCTTCCCGTGAACTCTCGCGGGTGCTCCTGGTCTTAAAACCTAGAAGTAAGGCCACCAGCCTCGGTCCCTTAGGATGTGGGGTGTGAAAACTGGAGAAAAAAAAAACAAAGAAACAAAAAACAATTGAAAACTAAATAAAAATAAGGCCGCCAGCCTCACCCTGCTGTGCACAAATGGTTCCCCGGAACACCGAGTCCGTGCCGTCCACGTGCAGGGTTACACAAGGAGGAATTGCCAACAGGCAAAGGGCCTTGGCTTGTTTGGGGTTTAGGCAATGATTTGTGTTTTATTTTTTCTCTTTGTGTCCTTGCAGCCGGGCGCCACAAATGAGAGCAGCACCGCCAGCACCAGCTGCCCGGGCCCCAGTGCCGGCGCCAGCGCCGGCCTCTGCCGTGGGTGCCCCTGCGCCGAAGCAGCCTGGCCTGATGGCGCAGATGGCCACAACTGCAGCGGGGGTTGCTGTAGGCTCTGCCGTGGGCCACACCATCGGCCACGCGCTCACAGGAGGGTTTGGCGGGGGAAGCAGCTCGGAAGCTGCGAGGCCTGATATCACTTATCAGGTAAGGGGAAGTACAACTGGATGCTAGCTCGTTGAGGTGTGGTTAATTTGAGAGGCTGGCTAGGTATATGCTGAAGTGATTGTTATACAATGAAAGATGCACGAGTTCTGGCTGGGGAAACAAAGGTAATTTTACTGACTCAGTTTCCAAGTTTACCTCCACAGTCATCGTGTTTGTTTATCTTAAAAATAGTTCAAAGGGACACGAGTGATGTGTGCCTTTGGCATTGGGGGTTGTTTCCTACGTATATTCTGGTATACGGGTGTTGTTCCCTGCTGTAGTACCCTTGTGACTCAGGGGACTTCCATGTGCCCAGTCTGCTGATGATAAGATCTATTGCAAGAACGGTGTCCTGAAGTCACATTTTGTGCTGCTCAAACATAATAAATGCTGTTGCCTTGCCTAGATGCTGTACAAAGTTACTTAGGTGTTTATAATTTACAAAACTGTTCAGAATGTCTGCTGTCACCACTGGAAACTTTGTACTTCAACCCAGTATTTGTTTTCCATTTAAAAAGTAATATATTTTGACAGAAATGCAGGGAAGAAGTACACAGCGATCAGTACTGAGGGGGTGTGGTTTTCACGGGCTGGAGCTGTTGAAAAGGTGCTCACGGAGGTGTCTGCCATTTCAGGAACCCCAAGCAGCTCAACCTGCCTACCAGCAGCAGCAGCAGTTTGCTCCTTGCCAGTATGAAATGAAACAATTCCTGGAGTGTGCGCAGAACCAGACCGACCTCAAGCTGTGCGAGGGCTTCAGTGAAGTACTGAAGCAGTGCAGGTTTGCTAATGGTAAGCAGTGGTAGCAGACTAAAGGAGCTAATTGCTGCAGTCATTGTGTGGGTACAATGCCCTGTTTTTTTTTTTCCTATATTTTTGTCTATTCTATAAAGAATAGGGATTGGTACAAAGCAGCAAGCTCAAGTTGGTTAAGGGAGTCATGGTTCTGTTGTCTTTCCTGTTTCAATCCAGTACATATAGCTGGAGGTGGTGGGGTGGAGATTGCATGAATTCCTGATGCTTTCATGCTAAATGAATGGAAGCAAATAATTTGGGAGAGGGGTGGCAACATGCTTCGGGAAGCAGCATAGCGTTGCCAGTTTGCTACTTAGGAGTGCTGCTGGCCTGTAGCAGGTGTCTTGGGCACAACTAACAAACCATTTTGATGTGGGAGGACAGAAGAATGCCAAGCACACGTGGCTGGGTGGACTGCTGAGGCCTTCCCTTCAACACATTCCTTATCACCCCTCAGTGTTTGCTGGGACATGTATATGCTTACTTCATAGTAAGGGACCTGCAGCTTAGGGATCTAAAACTTGATGTGATTAACTGTGTAACTTCTTATCTTACAGGTTTAGCTTAAGCCTCCAGAACAAGGTTGCTGAAGACCATCTTACAAGAACTGACCTATGAATGAAAAAGCTTCAGTAATAGTCTAAAGCTGTCTGATATTTTGTTAGTTCGTATATTCACACTGTTGTCCTTGTGGCTTGATTTCTGCCATAGCCTCTATGTGTGATACAACTTAAACTGCAAATTAATTTAGCACAACATGGAAAAATTAAGAATAAAGTGGAATGAACTAATGGGGTCAACTGTTTTGTTGATTGTTGGGTTGAATGTAAGTGAACCAATAAAATGTCTCTCTAGAAGTCCTGTGCTCTAGTGGATTTTGGAATGCGGGGTAGGAGTTGCGTTTTACGAGTAAGCAGGCAAGAACTGAAGCTTAGCAGGATCAGGCCTGCTCACCAGGTGCACTGACAGGAAATGTGCCTGAAGGGCTGGAGCTCCAGGAGTCCAGGAACACCCTTTGGTTCCGTGGTTAGCTCTGCTTGCCAGACACCTCATACTTGAGCATTTGAGCCCCACGGGCAGCTTCTGCTCATTACAATATGTAGTGACAAGGAAGGCAATGGCTGGCCATGATATTCTGCATACAGCAGGTCTCAGCTCGCTTAAAACTTAGCATCCTATCATATCTGTAAATACAAGTTCTATGTTTGCATTCAGGAGGCTGAGAAACACCTTTACTCAGAGAAAATCTGTGGTAGTCCGTTACATGAGCAAGCCTATACAACGCCGAGCAGTTCTACTCTTCTAAAATGACACGTTACTGTGTTAACGTTATTAGACTTGTAGTCCCCAATAATGTAAGCAGAGGCTGTGGGTTTTTCTTCCCTGTCTTGAAATGCAAGAATGGGGCCAAGTTGAGCAAGGGTGATGTGACATCTTGCAGCTGGTTTAGAAAAGTAACAAAGCTGGTGGTGCCATGCGGAAGAAAAATCTCTTTAAAAATTACTGATGTGCCTGAGGGGGCAAAGCCTTTCTCTCTCAGAGGGAGTAGCCAGTTCATGTCCTGCTAAAACACCCAGAGCATGCAGTGTAAATACCCTCCTGCACTTCAGCTTGTCATCACGTGCCGCTGAGCTGTGTTGTGAACCCTGCACATGTGTCTCGACTACGGGAACCAGGATGGTGCATTCTCACAAGGGGAGTGTGTGGGGTGGAATAAGGCTGTGCTGAAAGGTGCGATTTTTTTAAAAAAGCCATAGCATTACCTGTTTTTTGCTGAGCTGCTTCTGTGCTGTTGTGTATTCTGCCCGTTCCCAAGAGCCTCCCGTCTCTGATCTGCGGTTCCTGGAAGTGAAAAGATAAAATTAGCCTTCAGAATGGGGAGGGAGCCGCCTCAAAGGTGGGGGACAAGGACAGAAATACCTTTTCCCGGGGACACAAGCTGCGCTTCTGATAACAAATCTCACATTTTGGTCTCATTTCTCACCATACTGATAAAAAAGAAGGCGAAAATACTTCGGGCCTCAGAGTGAGGTAGCGCCGGGTAGGCAGGGAGATGCGCTCGGGGCCTTTGGGAAAAGCAGAGCCCTCTCCGGACCCCATTCGAGCCTTTTTGAGGGCAATCATCCCTCGGAGACCCCCCCGGTGCCCCCCTCAGCCACAGCCCGACTCCAGCCGGGCTCCCCTCAGCGCCCTTCCCCTGCTCCCCGCCGCCTCAGCGCGGGGCCTCCCCGGGCTCCCCTCAGCTCGGAGCCTTCCCCCGGTTCCCCCCCAGCTCGGATCACGGCCTCCCCCCCCCCGTGCCGAGCCTCCCAGGGCGTTATTTTTGGCCCGGCTCGGCCCGGCCCGGCCCCCCGCCGCCTCCCGCCGGCCCCGCTCCATTTCCGCCCCGATGGCGCTCGGCTGAGGCGGCCGGCGAGGAGGTAACGGGGGAAGGGGGGGGGGGCTGTTTATGGGGTGTGTTTATGGGATTGGGGCGCTCGCCCGGCCCCAATCCCGCTACCGGTGCTTCGGGACCCCCCTGCTCCTGTCCCCATAACCCCCCCGGGAGGAGGCAGCGCCGGCCGGGCCCCCCCCCGCTCCTCCGCCGCGCTGGTGCCGCAGGGACCCCCCCTTCCTTCACCCAGGGCCCTGCTGGCATTTATAAGCCGCGGCGGCGTTGCTGAGCTTTATAAATTCCATGTAGGGCGTTTATAGGTTTATGTATTCCATTAATTTTCATTAAAGCTCTGTTAGATTCCACACCAGCGCTGACAGCAGGCTCAGGGACCGGACAGCGTCAACCCTCCGTAACGGGGTCAGGACGGACACGGTTCGGTAATGGGATTCAGACTGCCCATGAGATGGGAGCCAGCCCTGCTTGTAGGGCTTGTGTCAGAGCAAAGGGCAGAGAAGAACCCACAGTGCTGGGGCTGGAAGCCTCGGGCCCTGCAGTAACCTCTCAGCCCGTGCTTTCCCCGCTGGCATTCACAAAAAGCAGGAACGAGCTGAGGACGTCCTGCTCCCGGTGCTTACAAAGAGAAACCGGTGAAAATTAGGGCTCGGGACAACCGGTTGATTTCCACCCTGCTCAAAATATTGCCACATCGCTCCTCCTCCAGCATGGACACAAAAAAAACACACCACCAAAAACAAGGGCAGCAGCCTTTCAGGAGATTTTGGGTGTACACGTGCGCTGTACTACCTGCCCTGCAGCTCAGCCCCAGCTGACCCCACAGCAGTCCCACCCTGCCCCACTGTCCCTTATTGCCCCCCTCCCCTCCTCAGTCCTTTCCCTTTTAACATTTTTTTTTCTTACTTTTGCTCAGCCAAAGCCTTTTGGACAGCACAATCAGGGTGGAGTAGGAAAAAAAAAGCATTTGAAAATATGAGAAGTGGGTGGAGGAGAAGAGGTAGACTTCAAGGCTTTGTGGGGTCTTTGGGTTGTGATATTGTGCCTTTTTTTTTTTTGGGTGAATGCTGCTGGGGACCTTTGGACCTCGCAGTCGCGTGCCGCTGCAGTGCCCCAGCAGCACATGGCTGAGCTCTTTTCTCCTTGCAGCCCCTTCCTGCCCGTGAGCAAGCACCAGGCGGGAGCCAGCCATGACTAAGGAGGAAGACCTCCCCGACTGGAGCTCGTCCAAGGAGTTTTATGAAAAATATGAGCCGAAGGAGGTTTTGGGCAGGTAAAGCTTGGTTTTAGCAAATTGCTGTTTTACCCATTCCAGTACCCAATAGCAGCAACGTCCCACAGGAACCTGATCCGAACAGGGCCCGTGGAATCACAGGGTTAAAAATAGCAAAGAAACGTTTTGCATCAGCTCAAAATCTGTCCCATCAAGACAGTATAACAGAGTGAGATGTGTTTGGGAAGGAAACACTGTGGTGCATCCACAGAGGTGGGCTGGGCGGGAGGAAGCAGACACTGCCCCAGCTCAGGACCCTTCCTGGGAGCAGCATCACATCCCCAGGGTGGTGGGAGCCCAGGCCATGCTCACACCATCCCCCTGACAATTAGTAATTAGAAAGCAATTTGAGCCTGACCCCACAACATCTCAGCGTGCTAACAGGGAACAGAAATCACCCCATCTTTCCCATGTTGTTCCTGGCAGGGGGGTGAGCAGCGTTGTCCGTCGGTGCATTCACAAAGCCACGAGGCAGGAGTATGCCGTGAAGATCATCGACATCACGGCGGGCAACATAACCCCCAAGGAGGTGCAGGAGCTGCGGGAAGCAACGGCCAAGGAGATCGACATCCTCCGGAAAGTCTCGGGCCACCCCAACGTCAGTGAGTTGGGGTCTGGGAGTTGGGGAGGAGGTTTTTCTGCCCCATTTATTCTTCAGGGTGTCCCCAGAAATCAAACCTCCACAAGCCCCATGGTCCTAGCAGGACACAGGACACCTGCTCTGAGCAGCCTTTGCTCAACCTTTGCACACACGTGCCAGCAGTGCCCAGGCCACCCCAGCTATCTCCCTCCTGCTCTCCCACTCAAAACACTAACAAAGATCACCTCATTAATTTAATTACCAATTAGATCAGCAGTTTTTAGCCCATAATTGGAAAGGAAGATGCTATACATGGGGTATGTGGCAAGGAACATACCGCACTGTGCTCACAGCCCCCATCTTTCATTGCAGTCCAGCTGAAGGACAGCTACGAATCCAGCACCTTCTTCTTCTTGGTGTTTGACCTGTAAGTACCCGCTCGCCCAGCACCGCCAGCTCCCTGAGCCCCAGCTGCCCCCATTTCTCCTCCTTTTCACTCTGCAAACAGCCACCAACCTAAATTCTCCCCAGCACCTTATAACCCAGACAGGGCAAAGTGAGGGCGCGACCAGGGCTCCTGTCAGGTAGAAAAGAGCCAGCTCACTTCAGCCTTGCCCCCGTTTCCCCTCCGTCAGCAGCTCAGGTTTCTCTGTAACCTTTGGTGGGAGCCCTCAGGCGTCCCTGGAGGTTATTTATATGCCCAGCAGGACCAGGGCTCGTGTGACGCCACGACTCATGACAGCGGGGCGGCGCGATGGATGTCAGAGTGAGCTGGCACCAGGAGAGCCCTGCCTTGTCCTGCCCAAAGCCTGCCTGCTTTGGGCACAGCTTTTCCTCCTCCTGCTTGTCATTTTATGACAATAAAAAGGGTTAAAAAGGACTAGATATTAATGTGTCAGCTTGTCATTTTGTGCAGTGGGTGCCCTGGGGCTGTTCCAGGGCAACAAGCCCCAGGCAGTCCTCTCCAGGGGTTTGGGTCTGTTTTTCCCTCCCACACGCAGGATGAAGAGAGGGGAGCTCTTCGACTACCTCACTGAGAAAGTCACCTTAAGCGAGAAGGAAACCAGGTAAGGCTGAAAACCGGGCTGCAAAAGCAGAGCACAGGTTCAAAGGAGAACCTTGCAGTTGGCACAGCACCCATGAGCAAAATACCCCCCCAGGCTGTGTCCCCACACCTGGCTGTTGAGGTTTTTGCACGTGGCTGAGCTCTTTGGTCCCTGGCCCCATCCCCGGGTGCTGAGGGGTGTTGGGGCTAGCAGAGGTGCTGTCACCCATCCCCAGGAAGATCATGCGCGCGCTGCTGGAAGTGATCCAGTACCTCCACTCCATCGACATCGTCCACCGCGATCTGAAGCCGGAGAACATCCTCCTGGACGATGACATGAACATTAAGCTGACGGACTTTGGCTTCTCCTGCCAGCTGCGTGAGAATGAGAAGCTCAAAGGTAGGCACGTGGTGAGGTGGGTGCGATGCTGGGCTGGCCCAACCACCCCATTAACACAGTGCCTATGGTGAGCTGGTGGAGCCCCTCCACCCCCAGTGACTCCAGCCCTCACTCTTTTCAATGACCATGTTCCTGCCCCTTAGGAAAACCATCCAATTTTTCCACTTCTTTTTTCTGTTGTCCAGTTGACCCACATCACCCCATTCATTAAGGTTTTCCCCTCTCCTACCCTGCAATGAACCAAATACCCAACAACGGACATCACCCACCAGCACACCCCTTGCTCTCCTCACTCTCATTATTCATTATAATTCACCAAGAAAAGTCACCAGCAAGGTGCACACGAGATGCAGTTGCTGCCATCACCATCACTGCAACGATCCCACCCAGATCCAGACACCCCTCATTGTCTGCGGGTCGCTAAGGGGATGCTCTCCCCTGTTTTGCAGAAATCTGTGGCACACCCGGCTACCTAGCCCCTGAAATCCTGCAGTGCTCCATGGATGATGAGCACCAGGGCTATGGGAAGGAAGTGGACATGTGAGTGAGATGCCTGCCCTCCTGCCCTCAGACCCTGGGGTGCTTCTAAAGTGATTGTAGTTTAGGGCACAGCAGGAGTTGCTCCTTGCTGGTGAGTGGCTGGGGACCAGCTGTAGGGTTTGTGAGGAGCTGAACGATGCACCTAAAAAACCACGGGGTTGCAAGGGGATGGCCTGGCGAGCAGGGAGCTGTGGGAGCAGCAGCCTCTAGCTGTGCCCATGTCCCCAGGGGAGAGCCCAGAGCTGCTGGAGCCCAGCAGGGGCTTTGCCACCCACTCTGGTGCCTTTGGGCTCAGGTCTGCAGTGCATGCTCAGAGCTGCAACCAACCTCCTGAGACACACAGGGGTATTTCAGCATCCTTTCAGCATAGCTACCTCCATCACACCCCGTGGCAGGACATTTTGTGTGCCACAGCCTGAGCCAAAACTGCCTGGGCACCTCCAGCCTTGCTGGCACCTCCAGGTCCCTTCCCTAAAACAAAATAAAACAAAGAAAAACCACCAAGTAAGGTGCATGCCTCCAACTCAGCTTCCTCCTGCTGCATCAGGAGAGCAGCCCCACGCCACCACCATCTGCATGACTCAAAAACCCACTGCTCCCTGTGACCCATTAGGGCTAATGAGCCCCAGCAGCGAGCTCAGCCCCCTCGTCAGAACCAAGCAGAGCAGTTTCCTCCTGGTTTTCCAGGCTGCTGAGGCTGGTGTGTCCCCCTGGGTCCCCGCAGGTGGAGCACTGGAGTGATCATGTACACCCTGCTGGCGGGCTCGCCTCCCTTCTGGCACCGCAAGCAGATGCTGATGCTGCGGATGATCATGAACGGGGACTACCAGTTCGGCTCCCCGGAGTGGGACGACCGCTCTGACACCGTCAAGGACCTGGTGGGTGCTCAGGGACAGGAAAACCTGGGGGGGGAGCAGGTGTCTGGGACACCCTGGGTCAATTGGGTGCCCTCCCGCAGATCTCCCGGTTCCTGGTG